AATTTTTTTTTTTTTTTTTTTTTTTTTTTTTTTTAAAGAGACAGCAAACGCTTGAGAGAGATGAGTACTTATACATAAAAAATTGTGTTACATTTGTCTTAAATTTATATTTAATTAATAAATACGACAGGTTTGCAATTTATTTTGTTGAAAGCATAGTATAGAAACATAGCTTTTCAAGCTATTTTGTTGCTATACACAGGATAAACGATTAAATTTTAAAAAATGAAGTATTTAAATTCAAATACGAAAAACAATGCAATTTCAATATCTCGTTTTGTTTTCTCCAATTACAAATTATAACGGAAGGAGCAAATGTGTGTACTTATACCATTCTACAAAAAATAAGATTTACAGCTATAAATTCTAACACATAACGATAAGTAGCTATTTTTAATTTACTGTAAAAATTACGGTCTTATCTTATGAATGAAACTAAAAGTTTTACAAGTTGAAATTACAAGTTGAATTTCGCAAAACAATGATTTGATTCAATTTATTCACAGTGAAGGGTGCTTTTACGTTTGTGTTTCAGGAAAAACCACACAAGTGTTCACAATGCTCCAAGTCGTTCCCAACGCCGGGAGATCTTAAGAGTCATATGTACGTGCATAATGGGTTATGGCCATTTAGGTGCCATATTTGTAGCCGTGGTTTCAGTAAACCGACCAATCTTAAGAACCACATGCTACTACATCTCGGCAGATGTTCGAACAAGAAGATTGTCAAATCCATTTCCGACTACTGACCAACCGATCACACCCACTCGATAATTTAGAAAAATCTATCGAGAAATCTATATGTATTTTGTTACATTATACGAGATAGAAATTAAAATTATTCCTCTAAATATCTCTCCTATTTATATTACTGTTTAAAGAAATACATGTGCAAATGTTTGCACACAATGCAATCTCACAATTACACTTTAATTTTGTTATTAACTTTTTCAATTGCTCACTACATTCAGGTAAAATAGTATGTACGTATTGTTGCTATGCCATAAGATCCATTTCCGTTAACTTTGTATCTTATTTAGATCAATTAATTGAATGTTATTTTTATAAAATTTCTTTATTGTTCCTCGAAGTTAATTAATACTGTTTACAAAGTGTTACGTTAATTATTGTGACGAGTAAATCGTGTAAGGTAGATTTATGTATGTAAGAGGAATCGCATGATCACGAAATATTAATTTCTTATGATATAAGAAATTTGAGAAATATGCATTGAGGAATAACCTTAAACGCATTGTTTCGCATTTCTTGTACGCGTACGTGTCATTAAATACAAGAATTTAAATGAAAGAAGGAAAAAGTTACCCTTGCATCCTTGCGGATTCAGGAATTTTCATTTATCGCTCTTGACAATTTCATATCGTTCAACTTAGAATAAAGAGAAGTAATTGCCTTTTTACCTCCGTTAATACTTGTTTTGCAATTATAGTAAATGACTTATGTATGTCTTCAATAAAATTATGTGATGTTTAAAATAATATTCATCCTTTTAAATTTCGCCAGAACAGAAAAATTAATATCTAGAATCTAAATGAATAAAAGTTGTTAGTATTCGTTAAATCCATGTAATTAATCCATGTTTTAATTGCAATAAATAATATTTACTTTTATGTCTTTTCCCTTTTCACTTACCTTTGGCTTAAATTTCGTTCTTTTTCATACCAAAATTTTATGTAAGTTTTGCATATATTATTAATTATTTATATTATGGAGATAGAAATCAAATATCGTATTGTTAAACAACTAATGATGAAAATTTTATAAATCTAGTAAATAAAAAGAACTATAATTATTTAAATCATTATAACATCTTTGAAATAAAGTTATATTTATATTTAGTGTATTAATATTTGGTTAATAACGTTTGTTAAAAAAATTTGTCACTTTCATTCATTTAGATTTGATTTCTAATTCAAAATATAACAAACATAATTTTATGTATTTATACCACTTTTTTTTTATAATATTCAGTCAATATACAAAATAACGCCAAAATATTTTTCTCCTGAAGGTATCAATAAACGAAACACAATTTGGAGATATTTAGGTGTAATTTTGGTGTATGAGTTTCCTTCACAAGTAGATCATTTTTAGATCACATTATTTACAACTACAGACAAGATCCACCACTAATGAGACCAGCTTTTGTATCAGTAGATGTTTGTTTTTGGAAACAATCATCTAAAAATTGAGCCATCGATAAATAAAGGTGACGTTTTACCCCTACTAACGCATGACCCACATCTGGATACACCTGAAACGAATAATTAATGTTACAAAAAGGAAAATCTTACCTTCATGCAAAGGATACTCGTACGCATTACTACGAATAGTACCTGTTGTCGAAAAAGTATGCCTTTTTTTGTAAGGTGATGCGTAAGTGCCATGGATTGTTGAAATTGGACGTTATCATCTGCAGTGCCATGCACTAAATAAAACATTTTATTTTCTAAATGTTCCACTTTCTCGAATATATCTGACTCAGCATATCCCTTATAATTTGATACAACATCTGGTAAACCCATGTATCTTTCAGCATATGCTGAATCTGTTTAAATGTAAAATTTTTAATTAGCACGAATAATTTAATGTAAACTCAAGAAAATAATGGAGATTGAACTAAACTGAAATTACCATGAAGTTTCCATGAAGCAATAGGTGCCACGCTTATGCCACATTCAAAGACATTTTGCTTAGGTTGCGCCAGCGCAAGAGCAGCTACGAAACCTCCGTAACTCCAACCCCAAACAGCAACTCGTTGTTTATCCACGAAATGCAATGAATCTCGTAAATATCTAAAAATTTGTAATAATTTTATAATAATTAAAAATATTCTATATTAAAAATTTGTGCTTACTCAGTCACTTCAAGTTGATCAGCAACTTCAACGGAACCAAGTCTATAGTACACTTCATGAAGGAACTTATAGCCTTGACCGCCACTACCTCTTCCATCAATTTGGGCAACAATCATATTTTTTTTACTAGCTAAGTAAGTATTCCAATCAATTTTGAACATTTCTGTTACTAACTGTGAACCTGGTGCACCATATCTAAAAATAAAAATATTTTTGATATTATATTTTCTTCCCAAAATAATGTTAAAAGATCTATCATTAAAAAAATATGCTTACACTTGTACAATCAAGGGATATCTGGTGATCTCATCTTCTCTTAGTCCAGGTGGTAAATGCAATTTTACTTGTGCATTATATCCACCACTTATTTGAACAGGAAATATTTTAACTTGTGGAAGTGCAAGTTTGTTAACTCGTTCCTAAAATGAATGTCTAATTTGATATATATTTTTATAACATAGCAATATTAATTCATAACAATGACTGAAATATAGAAACTGTTATAACTTACACGCAATAATGTATTATTCTGTAAGACATAGATAAGATATGGCATGGGAAAATTAGTTTTATATAAAGTAACAGTAGGTATACCAGGCCCATAACATTCCAAGACAAAGTAATCAGTTCCAATTGGTGGGAAAATAACATTGTGATATTGACAAGGTTGATCAGTAAATTCTGAAAATAAGAGAAATACCATATACATGGTATCCTTATTATATAAATCATTAATTGTTTCTTCAAAAGCATGTATATATTTATATTTACTTGGTGCAACGTATGTTTTCGATTTCTGTTTCTTTGTAACATTTTCCTTTAGATGTCCAGTATCTTTATCTTGTATACTTTCTGTTTGTGTTTCATAGTGGTCATGTATGTAATTATTGTCAGACCAAGCACTATGATGACTAGATGAAACTGTTCTATGTTTATTTCGATTTCCTTCTGATGTTTCTGTACAAGTAACACAAACAGCAGGATGTAGAGATGAACCCACATGTGGTAACAATGAACTCACATAATAAAGGTGTCTCTGTCCTGGTCGCATAGGTGGAATACCTATAAAATATCTATTCAAAAAAAAAAGATAAATACATTTAAAGAAAAATATTATTTGATCAGTAATGATTGATTAATACTTAATAAAAAATAAAATTATTTACATGGTATTATTAGGTTGATCCCATGCTAATATTTGTGCAACTTCGAATTTTCCATGAGTAAGTGGAACAATTAATTTTCGAGCAACATTCACCCAAACAATATGTTTGAAATAACCAGCTTGACCATCTTTAATTGGGCTTATAGCAATGTAACTACTACCATTTGCTGAAAAGATAGGTGCCTCTGGAGGAGTATCTACCCAGCCATGATCTTCAGCTATTATCCTTTGAATTTCCTATATAAAACAATGAAAACAGATTTATAAATACCTGAAATAAGTACCCAACCTGAAAAATAAATGGGATAATTGCAATATACCTGACAATGCCACAATGGACTCTTGCACATAGTCACAACAGAAAGATTTTGTGCACGGGTCAACCATGTTATGCAGACTTCCGTTGAAGAGACCCAAGAAGCCGTAGTAAAGTAATGTTCTCTGAATATAAATATTGATAATGTTTATAGCAAATATTATATATAATAATATTTAATAATTAATTTAACTTACTTAGTATTTAATTAAAGCAATTTGCATGATATTTAATTAAATCTATAAAAATGCAACTTAATATAGAACTACCAATAGCTGATTGTATCTATGCAAACTAATAAAACTTAATTATTTTAATGATAATAAAATATATATGAATTGTTGCTAATCTAAATTCCCCTGTTAATGTTTGTGTTAAAGTGTTTTATGTTAAAAAATGTTTATGTTAAAAAGGAAGCTATGTTATATTTTTAAAGATAGCAAAGAAATGAAAGCAAATTAAAAAGAAGGATGTCTATAATGCACACTAAAAAAAATTGGTGAATTAAAATCGCTAAGCACAATTAAATAATCGTTTATGTGCTAAAAATTAAAAAAATATTTTCTACATACATCACATTATGGGGATTAAAATGAGATGATTTCTAAGATTAACTCTTTAAAAATTAATTCTTTAAAAGCTTCATAAATATTTAAATTATCATGAGTGCAAAATATCACTTATGTATGCAGAATACTATGTGATGAATATATAAAAAATATATATGTGGATAAAAAAATCTACATATGAAAGTATATGAATAAAATAATAATTTTATAGAAAATTTAAGAATTTTTACATGTTTAACAAAATATAATGAATCATGTCTTGCTATCAGAAAATGTAAATTCTATTTAACTACATTTAACATTAAAAATATTTTTAATGCTTTTTAGTTTAACTGAAAAAAATGCATGGATGTTAATATTTTAGAAAATGGTACAAAAAATATTTCTTCATCATATTGTAAATTAGAAATAAATTTGCTTTCTACAGAAGTTAGAAAACTGTGAAATTCACTACAGAAATATTAGATCAAAATAATTTTTCTTTAAGGAACAAAACAAAGATTATATTTTTCTATTTAAGTTTATTTTAAACTAAAAAGTATTCTTAAAAGCCAGCTCATTTTAAACCAAGAAACTACTCCTCATGTATATCTTAAAGTATCTTGCCGAAAGATTATGCTTCCTTTTTTGAAGTACCTCGGGAGTGTCACCATAGAAACATCTAAATGTTTCTTGTAAAAAACAAAGTGCAATCTCTATTCAAGACATTTTCAATTTTGTTCATTCTTTTTTTTTTTTTTTTTTTTGTTAAGACGAATAATTAGACCTAATGAGGAAAAATTAATAAGAGAGAATTTGTTCAAGCACTTCATATTCCAAACTTTGTAAGAAAACTCACACATGCTCGATGATAGGTGGCGGTTTCACTACCTTCGTATGAATGTTCTTTGGATTTGCCAAGTCTGCTATATAGAGTCGTACTACTGGATTTGGTGTTCCTGGCTATAATATCATATCATATCAAAAAAAAAAAAAATTATGATGAGTTTATAATACATATATATGTACTAAAAAAGTATAATAATTAATCCAAAATAATAAATAAAATTAAATTTACCTTAGGATAACGCAAAGATCGTATATCAGGATACAAAACTTTATTTCCTTCTCCAAACCAAGATATATGCATTTCCTCAACAAGTGAATCATTAAAAGAAACATATAACATCATATGGCCATCCGATGACATCCAGATTGCTTCTGCACGATGTAAAATCTCTTCTGTAAATGTATGTATAAAAATTTATGCATATAAAATAATTTATCACATATTTCTTTTCCAAACAACCACAATATTTCAATTATATTACCTTCATAAAGCCAATCTGGTAGTCCATTTGATAGAATACCAGGAATTGCCGTATCAGTAACACGATATCCTGTATTACTTTTCGGACTTGTTATATAATAAATATCATAATTGTGAACCATAACTAAACCATGATCACGTGGAGTCCATTTTGCCAATAAAAGATAAGGATGAACTTCTTTTTCAGGATGTGGAGTCAATGGTATAATTTCTCTGTAACAATATAACATTGAATGTCTAATGATAATAAATAAATAACAGTAATAAAAAATAATTTAGAATAATTTTATATATTTGTATAGATATTTACAAATTAATTTTTTAATTTTTTCTTTTAATAATTAAAAAATTCCGTTTTGCAAACTTCTTTATTATTCTAAATTAAAATTATCATCTAAATTATGCTTACTAACCGTGTATTTACATCGTAAACTGTATATTGTGCTAAATACGAGTATCGGAAGAGTTTCTTCACATTGTGCGCAAGGAGCAAATAATTACGATCCGGTGACAATGAGAACTTGGCGGGATTCAGTGTCCTCTGTATGCAAAATACCTCTTAATGTTCTCTTTTTCTAGAAAGCCTTAGTGTAAGTATACAAATATATTCTAACAGACGCAATTTTCTATATTTACACATAAAAAAATGGATATACGTACCTGTTAAACATAATTTTTGTTTGTTTTATATTAAATTATCTTGTTATGTAGAAGTACACAAAATTAATAAAAATATTTAAATAACTTGAACTTACAAAAGTTTCATTGGACATTAAACTGCGAGAAGTGATGTTTTTTGAAGAGACGTACAATAGGGAAATTCCACCCCATACATCCCGGTAGCAAATATGCTGTCCGCTTACCCATGATCCATTGAAGAAAAGGGGTGTTAATTCTCCAGAAAGTACCTACATATTTACTTTATATTAACACAATGAACTATTAACTATTTATTTATTTATTATTAATTATTATATAACATCATTTTCATTAATATAATAATTAGATGAGTATTCGCTGTACTAAAGTCGAAGTTTTTTTATTTCATTATTTATTTAAGTATTTTATTGCAAGAATATTTTCAAAACATACACTTTGAAATTAAGTCTTTTTCTCATTAAATCTTAAATTTTGAAATTAAATTCGAACGCTAGTATAAAAACTTAAGCAGTGGATCGTGCCTACTAATTGAAAAAGTTTGTGAAATAAATCGTTATACCGACTGGAAAATGATAATTTGTGAAATTATGGATTTGGAACAAGGTCCAAGTAATACTTTATTTTATGCTTGCTCAGAGAACGTTCATGAATATTAAAAACAGCATATACAGTAGCGTGAAATCTCTTTAAAAAAGAAGGAAAGGAAGAGTTGAAGAAATATTATAACCAAAGATATCGGATCGCGAAATAGAGAATGTTAAAATTATTACAACCATTAAATAAATATTTAAAGATTGAAGAATTTAATAGACGAAATCAACTCGAATAGGTCAAAAGACTTCTGGATGTCTTCGAAAGATTCAAGATCAAAATGATCCTAGCAATCTCCTAGCCAAAAAAATATTCATGAAAACGAATAATCTTTCCAAGGGAATCTTTTTACTTCCTTCTTTCTCATTAAGATAATTAAAATATGAACAACATCTATCGATTAATACAACATTTATGATTTTACTTGCAACACCAATGTAACTCGGATAAAATATTTGATCATATATTAAAAGATCCTTTACAGATATTGATGTATAATCCATGATTGTAAAAAAAATTTGTAATCAGTATGTTTTAAAAAAGAAATTGACAAAAATTCTTCATTTTTCATGTTGCTTTAAGCAAATACTCTCTTCGGTACTAAAATAATGAATTATATTATTAAAAAAATAATTCAAGAGTTAGAATATTAATACTTGTAAGTACAAATATGTAATAGTTTAATTGCTATCCAAAATAATTATTTACCTCGGAAAGTGTTATTCTAGCACCTCGTACTCTGGGACCCTCATCTGGCGGTGTTAATAAGGCAACGGATGTCACAATTAGTGTTAAGACCGCAACGATCACAAGAAGAGCTATTAAAATGCCACGCCAATTCCTTTGATTCGGATTCGCTGATACAAGCTCCTATCACAAAGGTACTCACTAACGCCAATGCCAGATAATCATACTATACGTATAATAAAATTTGTTAACTAATTCATTTAAAATATAAGATAATAAAAAATATTCAAAAATGTTAAAAATAAAAATATCACATTTACAAAATTACAAAATTACAAGAAATAAAAGCGAAGCAAGCAAAATAAGTATTAAATAAATATTTCTCTAATATTTAAGAAAAATGTGATACAAGGAATTTATTACAATATTATTTATATGTAAAATTATATCTAGAACTGTATTACATTATTGTGTAAAATCTAAAACAAATACTAAGTAGTTTTATAGTAGCAATAGTATAATATTGTAACTATAGAAGAAAGTGATTGATTACTGTAATTTTAATTTTAGAATTATATGTAGGTCAATGTTAACGTTTTACATACATTTATGGAGAAGATATTATTGATCTTGTAATTTAAGGATAATTGTTAAATTATGATTTTTATTTAAAGAAATAATATGTTAATTAATTAATATGTTAATAATCTTATTAAAATAATAACTTTTAAAGAAAATAGTAATTAGTCGCACATATCGAAAATGTTTAATGTGACAATTCCTCTCGTTATAAATAAATATTTTTTTTAGGCATAACCATCGACAAAAAGTTATTTCGTCAAATAAAAATTTAGATGTATACAGTATAATTAAATAGCACAGCAACAGAAATATGTTTATAATAAAACGAAAACGTAAAATTTAAAAATTACGATCAATAAATTCCTGCTCTAATTTTCAACATAGTTAATAAAACGTGTCACTTTGCGAGAAGCACAGGAAGTATTCTTTTCTCTAAATCCCTTGTCTAAATATTAAAGACAAAATTTGTTAATACAAAGAAGAAATATCGTGCATTACAAAAAGTTTCGTACTATATTATCATTTAAAAAAAAAAAAATGATCAACTTTTCAAGATACCATTCAACGTGTGGACAAACGTCATATAGTATATATTCAATTATACCTTATGTATAGTATACATTCTAACAAAGTTTACCAACATCAAGCAGATTCAGAATTTCCAACAAGGTGGATGAAAAGGAAACCGAAAATCTCACAGAAAATGCAAGTGAATCAATTAATTACCTCGTCGTCGTAAATGTTATCGTGATCTGCCATCGGAGAAGACTATCGACGTCCCGATGCTTCTGTTGAATTAGAAAAGCAAACAGAAGATCGTGCTAAAATTTATCCCGTCCAAAGCTGCGACAAACGTAGTCTTTTGTGCAACGTGATACATACATATGTATCCACTGATATATACAGTAAAGAAAGAAATACAACGGCGGAAGAAAACGAGGGGAAATAAAGAACGGGTAAGTGCAGCGTTACGCGCAATAGTGTTGCAGCACGTCGCGATTTCTCAACTTCCACCTTGCACTATGCGAAATTTTCGGTACTGATATTGAGATTGTACCCGTTGATGCTGGAAGAACGAGGCCTGCGCGGTACTGATGCTGCGCACTTCTATCCTTCATTTTTTTTTCTCACTTCTCTATTTTTAAATTAATTTTTGGTGTAAATGGAATCATCGGGATCACTTTCATCATTAATAATTATTCACTTTAACAAAAATATCACATTCCATAAAAATGCGCAATTAAAATTTTGCTTTGGATTTAGTCAGTCTGGATTTATTTATTCGATCAATTTTCTGGATTTATTCAATATTAAAAGGTTATACCTTTATATAGTCACTTTTTAGAACGAAAGTAATCTTTGAAGAATTTAGAACTTGAATTAATGTTTATTTGGTCTGAATTCGATCTGATTTGAATCTACTTCAAAAATATGAAGATATGACATATATTAAGATTTTTCTCGTTATATTTTAATTGCATGCTAGTATGGTAATTACTAATTTGTATAGTTTCGTATTTATTTCTGCAATAGAACACATTCGTTTTTAAATATACATATGTATAAATGTATATTTAAAAATAATAAAAACCAAATTATTAAAAATTTTAAATCATAATTTTAAGTGATGATATATACAAATATAAATTTTTAATTCACAACGAACCTGCTGTTTTGAAATAAAACTTCAAATAAATCTTTTTACTTCCATTTCGTATTTTATGTATATGACACACACACACACACACACACACGTGTGTAGAACGAATTGAGAACGACATGCACAATGAAATATTGTTGTGCTTTTATGTAGAAGTACCTCATTTTAATAAAGATCAAATAAAACTGTATATTACGTAAAAACTGGAAATATTAATGATTTGTAGTTAATGATATTTCCAAATTTGTAAATATTCAATCTGAAAAAATTCAATTATTCAGTTAAAAAGAAAATTAAGTTCAAATTACAACATAATTTGTAGAAAATTATTAATAATTATTTTATACAACAAATTTTTCATGATATTAAATCTTTATATGATAGTGCACGTGTATGTTTTACATTGCTAGAGGATTTAAAATATTTTATATTTGATTCCATGAGCAGTTGTTTACATGTTTTTAAAATCCTAGTAAAGGAATATTTAAAGCATAGTAAATAATTTTTATTCCCATTTATTAAATACATTCGATAACAAACATAATATACAATAATGAAATGTATTCGAAATGAAAGAATATACGGATATACACAGCTATCGTTATTTATGACAAATATAAATTCTTATAAATATTAATGACTTTCACAAACATAATATAACGTTCACAAACGTAATATATTTAATAATAAGAAAAACGTGTATAATTAAAAAAGATATTAAGATATAAAACAAGCTAATAGCAATTTATTAAAACGAATAAAGGAAACGTTTATACAAATTAGAAAAAAATGTACAATTAAAATCTTTCAGCGTATAAAGCGAAAATAAGTACAATGAAGCGCGTCACTACTAACCTCCATATACGTAAAATAATCTTTTGGTTTTTCTTCATAAAAAAGATATCTCTTTGAGTACAAGTAGATATATATAAGTTTAGTGGTAAGTTACAAAGCTTTTATACACGACCCAGTATATTCGTGGATACAGATCAATACGTTCTGCGTTTGCGTGTAAGTTAAAAGAAACATTTTTGAAAAAGCGCGAATTATTTGAACAGAAATCATTCAGACTTATTAGTACACTGACTTGCAAATTGACTGTATAAAATACCATCGTTTTAAATTTAATATACGACGTCACTAATGAGCATGCAAGTAGTTCACTTCTGTTTCTTCTCTGTAACTATTGATATCATGCGTAACGTTCAAAATTAAATTGACTTACGCGTGCGTATGTTAATAATAAATTGACATTGCACATAAATGCATATGCAAATTAGACTGTGGCTATGAATTTTCCGTGCACATTAAATAAACAAACCTGGCACTGTCAAGTGTGCGATGACTACAGATTAAAATCTTTTACTTCCTATCGCACGTCTTTATTATTAATATTATATATTATATATTATAATATTATATATTATAATATTATTCATATTATAAATATTATTCTGTGCATACAACTTTTGCAAATTAAAAATAATAAAAATGAATATGAGATGCAACTAACTTTAAAGCAATTCAAACAATTTTATATTTGTTAACTTCTTCAGTTCTTCTGTAATAATTAAATTAGATATCCAACTTTCATAAAATCTTATATATCATTATAAAAAATATTTTGTAAGATTAATTTGTTATAGCGAATATTTATTATCATAAATTCATGATGAAAATGTATTATGTTTACAGAATTAAAAGTTACAAGTTCAAATATCCCGCTATTCGACCATAATAGAAAATAGTTCATTTATCGTGCGCATACAGTGCTAGTGTTTGTAGCTTTTCGAAAAGCGACATCTATATTTATATAGTATATTTCTATTGGCATAACGAAAGTCAACGTGTTGTAATTTGTGCAATATATACGTGCATTGATTTGTAAAATAATTTTCTATACTACGAATTTATTATCTTTAATCTCTTCTCCTTCATTTATTGAGTAAAAGCAGTTAAAAAACAACATTTTATACTATCAAATATGGATGAAAATCTAATCAAGGAAATACACTATTTAACGCGTAAGTTTACAATTTTTTACAATATTCCAGTTGATCATTATAACGAATAGTAGTTTTGAAATATTTCAAACAAAACAAAACAAAACAAAATCATACTATTATTTTAATATATCACAACACGTTATCGCATTAAAAATATTTTTGTGACATATTTATATAAATATTTGGAAGTCATCAACTCAGATGCCATATGCTCATATTTTTTTCCATTTTTATAGTACCTTCTTTTATTAATCTGAACATTTAACAGTTTTGATTCCATTAACAACTATTCTATGATTCTATTAATATGTGATTCAATTAATATGTATAAATAATAATTTATAATTTGTATTATACATATTTCATAAAATATAAATGTTACAATTTAATAACATTATGATATATTTTCAGGTTTAATAGAAAATCATAAGAAAAAATTGCCAGATAAGTCACATTGTGTCGAAAAACCTATCATAAATCAGACTTTGAATTCTGTAAAATCTGGGATGTGTATAAATTTGCTTCAGAAATCTCAACAATTGTCAAAAACATCTACTATAACATGTAACATGTTGACAAGTACTAATGTATATATTAATCCAAACTTTAAACACCAAAATTCTGCAATATATATTAATCCAAAATTACGTAAGAAATCTTTGGTACATGTTAATCCAAAAATGATGAAAAATGTTATCAGTTCTAATGAAGATAATCAAAGTAATTCTTTAAATATAACAAATACAAATTCTATTCAAAAATCAGTGCATGTTAATCCAAAATTAATGAAAAAATTGTCTTCCTCTGTACAATCTAAACCGGCAGAGCATAAAGAAATAATTGTACAAAATATTACTTATCCTACTTGTTCAAGATTAAAACTTGTTAAAAGAATAAATTCTCCAAAGGTTATTCATAATCAAAAGAAAGTAAATAATTCCAGTATTGTAGCTTTATCAGAAAGAAAACTTTTACGTGTAAAACGTGGATTAAGAAAATCCTTTAGTACTTCTCAAGTTGAACTTTATAAAATTAAAAGATCTTCAAATTCTCTAGTAAAAAATATGAAACCTATACCTCAAAAGTTTATGAAAACAAAGATAATAAATTCTTTGCAACAGTCAATTAATAGAAATAATATTGTAAAATCACCAGTTATAAAACCAAAAATAAACAAATACAGAATAGATCGAACTGTATCAAAAACAACAAATACTAGAGAACATATAAATCTTGTTCAGAAAAAAACTATGTAAGTAACAAATTTTCTTTAAATCTTAAATTTCAGGTAGTTCTTATAATTGTATTTTAAAAATTAATCAATTTATGAATATATTCTAGGAATAATAAAATGGAACTAATTACAATTGGTGGAATTGTTTATAAATCTTCTAAAAATCACTTAGTACGTAAAAGTTATGGAGTAAAAAGTAAGTAAATATTATGTAATATAAAATTATATAAATGCATAACATAAATATTATATTTCTTGTATTTCAATTTTAGAAAAACGAGTAATAAATCTTAAAGACAAATTTATCATAGCTACTAATGGAAAAAAATTATGTAGAGTAAAATCTTTAAAAGAAACTTCAGGCAATTCAAGTACAAAGATATTAAATACAACAAATGTAAATAAATCTTCATTTAATATGTCGCAAAAAATAAATTATAAAAATAATATAAGGTATGTAATTACTTTTCATATTTTATTTTTGAGTTTAGTTTTATATTATATCTTTTTTCTTATATAATCAATTTTATATAATCATTTTATTAATTTGTTTTTTCTTGCAGCAATAAAGTCAAACAAAAAAGTATACAAATATTACGAAACAAAATGCAAAAAAATAACCAACCGTGTTTGATATTCCAAAAATTTGGATATTGTTCAAATCATGAAAAAGGAATTTGTGTAAAACTTCATGATAAAAAACAAATTTCTTTGTGTAAGAAGTAAGTATTTTTTATTTATGTGATATATAAAAAAGAATATTGTTTTTTTAATAGATAAAATATTTTTAGATTTCTTCAAGGAAATTGTTTATTGGATAAATGTCCGTTATCTCATGATGTTGGTCCAGAAAAAATGCCAACTTGCAAGTACTTTTTAGAAGGTTGCTGTACCCGAGATGCTTGTCCTTATCGTCACATCAAAGTTTCTTCCAGTACTCCAATTTGTATAGATTTCTTACAAGGATACTGTGCCAAAGGTAGTGAGGTAAGTGCAATATTTATTATTCCAATTAAAATAATTATTATTTCTTATTAAATCTTTGAAATTGATACACGTTTATCAGGAATATTGAATATTAACAATTAGACAATTCTATCATTTAAATATAAATGTATCGTAACAGCGTAAAATATGTTAGATAAAATTGCTGATGTTACATCTTCACCGATTTTAATAATTTTTAAATATGTTATAGAAATCAACATTTTCAACATTTTTCTACACATATCTTAAAAACCAAGTTTAACAATTGTAGAAAAAATTTGTTCCTACACCTTTCAAAAATTATTGAAATTGAAGAAGAAGTAATACATCAGCAATTTGACTATATGTTGATATATTTATCAAATTTAATAGTTAAATTTAATAATATAAAATTAAATTGAATTTTAATGCAAATTTTAAATATTTAGCAGAATTATCTTTTTCAAAAATATTATAATTTATTTTTTTATATTTTTTTTATATTTAGTAATTTTATGTGTTTTATATGTTCATAGTCTATAAATAATTATTTTTTCATTAATTTTTAAATATTGATAATTTTATAATTTATAAAATTTCAAAATTCATAATATATTAATAATTTGTAAAAGACAATATTTCAAAAGACCTGGAAGTTTCTTCTTTTACAGTGTAAGCAACGTCATGAAAATCTATGTCCCGAGTTTGAGAAGACAAAAAAATGCAGTAGAGGTAAGCATTGTCCTTATCCACATAAAACACAATCCTCTTCTAAGAAACAAAGCCATTTAAAAAGAAAGTACAGTACACATTGCAATCAAACAGTAACTCCTGTTACAAAAAATACTTCATCTTTTAATACTGAAAACAGGCTTAGATATTATGAACAAACAGATGTTCTAAATAAATCTCTTGATAAAAAAAGAGAAAATATTATAAAAAAAATTAAACTTATGAAAAATATAGAATCTGCAATTCATTCTTCAATCTGCAATACATCAGTTGAAATATGTGATAATACAAATTCAGAAACAAATGAAAATAGTAATAAATCAGAAATTATTTCTGATTCAAAAATATTAAGACGTCCTCCAATTGGTGTTCTACCTGCTTATATACCTATTGATTAATACAAATTAGTATCATTATTAATAACATTATTTTGATACTTTTTAAAGTTTGCCTTAGCATCTATTAATTTCAAATAACATATCATATTTATGTAATTTGATAAGAAAATTTATGTTTTGACAATTGATGAAATTTATACTTAATAGCTAATAAAAATTACATTTGTATTATGTTATGTTCAAACATATACAAAAATAAGAATTATATTTTGTAATGACGTTTTATAATATAATGAAAGATGTACATATTTGACAAAATGAAAGTATTTTAACTATACATATACAAGTTATAATCATTTTACATGCATGTTATTCTTGCTTCCTTTATTTTCCTAAAATAACTTATATTCAAAAAAATAAAAAAGTATTATTAATTAAAAAAGAAAATTTTCTGATAAAATTTATACAACACTAATGAAAATGTACATTTTTGTATCCTTTTTAAATATACATTTTATTTACACATATAATATACAGTGAAAATTAAATACAATAAATTACATATAAAATAGTTTATACAAATGTAATATACAATGAGAGTTGAAATTAAATATTAACATAAAATAATTTACATAAACAATTCAAACACAAGTATTTCTATTATTATTATAATTCTTATACATTTTTTTATAATAAAAAGAACAAATATTTAACAGTGTTGTTTTTATATTAACAGTGTATTTTTTATAATAAAAAGAACAAATATATAACAGTGTTGTTTCAAGTATATAAAAGGATCCAATTAGTTGGATGATTGTATGCCAACAATATCGGACTATGTAATAATAATGACAATGTGTTTTCATTAACTGTATTTGATATCATAAACCATTGTTCAAGCCAATTTCTCATACTTTCTAAGGACATAGTTGCAGGATTTAGACCCCTAAATGAAAGTGCCTAAAATATTTAATAATTTAAATATATGTAATAAGAGTGTATTTTATAATTTAAATATATGTAAAGAAATCGTATAAATAAATAGTATAAAAGAATATTAAAGATATTCAAAAATTATTTTATATATACCCAACGTATTGCATCATTTGACATTGTTGTAAATCCACCTTCTTTTTGTATAGCTAGATCCATTTGTTTTATTAGTATAGCTCGTTCTTTTAATTTTTGTCTTTTAAAAACTGTCCAAGTTGATATATTGTGTATGCTAAGTAATTCTTTCTAAAATATAATTCAGTATTATATTTCACTTTTCATGGAATATTTTATCTTTAAAATTTGTTTATTATAAATATTAAATTAATGTACTAAATAATTGAGATCAACATACTTTGTGTTTTCTTTTAAGGCTATTTAATGAGTATGGTTTATCCGCAAATAATTCAGAACAAGCAATAATATCTTTTACATTAGGATGTGTACCACTGCCAAGGCTTGCAATAATACCACTCCATTTCAATTTCAGTGTCTGAGTTTTAATATTGTTAAGTTCTGCTTGCATGCACCTAAACAATGGCCTGTTGTGTTTTAATTTTTTCTTCTGGTCCAATAGCATAAAATCAAATCTTTGTTGCAGTGTCCAATAATGGGAAGTTAAAAGGTATCTCGGAAAATAATATGCTAGAGGAAAGATGATATAAGTTGTAAAAGGAATAGCAGATATTAACAAAACAGGAAATATCTGGGTTAAATCTTTAGGCATTGTGTAGCTCAATTTTAATTCATCATGAGTTAAATTATTTTGTTTATCAATATTTTGCTTTTTCAATATCAAAAGAAATTTTTTTACATCTTGGTATAAATCATTAGTACCAACGCTAAATATACGATATACATGCATTGTCTTTGGAAATTTTTTCTCCAGTACACGATCATAACTTTTTATATAATTTATATATTTGTCAAACCAATAACTTTTTATATTAGACATTTTAATTGTTTCCAAGCTTTTCTTCTCTTGTTTGTGAGATCGTATACAAGTATATGTAAGAAATAAAACTTTTTGATTTTGAAAAACAAATCTCTGATGATGCATTAATCTATACATTTTCATGGTTTTATTTATGTAACATTACATATGGTTATGTTAGATCTTATTTATTAGCTTTGTTCTGAATTGACGTTATTATATTAAATTAAATATATTTAAGAAATATATTTCAGATTATTATACATTTTGATAATATTTGTTTGAATAATTTTTATTATTTTATATATTTGGCATATAA